TATACAGGCTGCTTCATGGCATGTAAATTCTTGCCCTGTGTATGTAAGTAGAATTTAGGTTCTTGTTTTGCTAAATTTGTAGTACGGCACCTTGACTTGTAAAATTAAAACAAAAGATCTCAATAAAGACGATGTAGGCGCAGAATAGATTAACATAATTTAGGATGGAGAACGTGATACAGTAACACAGATCCTCCCTGACTCTGAGCCAGATTAGACAGAGAGTGAATGTGTTCACAAATGCCCAGCAAAAGGTCAGCACATTATTGAATTTTTTCAAATATTTTTCAAAATACCTCCTGGCATTGCAAATATTTTTGACCACCGCGTAATACTTTGGGGAAGGTTGAATCCCCACTACTCCATGCCCCCATCTCTCGCTCTACCTCTCTCTTACACACACACACACACTCACACACAAACACATAAACAGACACCACTATACAATGCCTGCCAATCTGCACAGAGAAAAACCGCTCTGGGTTATTCATCGATTGACCATTCAAATCCCAACATATGCTGTTCTGCCTCTATTCCACTGTGTTCTCAGAAATGGAGCGTTTCCGAAATTCTTCCACAAGGCTCCCTGCTCTGCTCAGGAGTCACTCACACATGATGTTAATGAAGGGGGGGGGTAGGCAGGAATGTAAATTGATCCAATACGTGTGCTCGTGCACATGTGCACACGTGCATCTGTGTGTGCCACTGTGAGCGTTTTGACCTATTTTGCAGAAAAATGCAAGGACAATATATCATCCGAAGATCTGCTCTGTAAACTTGTAGTAAATTGCCCCAATGAAATATATCATGTTGTATTGAAGTTTCTTTGCACAACTGCATGTTAAGGTATAAGATAGTGAGGGAGCCCGAGAGCATGGGTCTACTTTTACAATGCACAATAACATTCACTCCAAGTGCTGCACTGTCAAACATCTCAGCTTTACTTTCCTATTCATGCCCTTCTACCTTTAAAGTCCAAAATGTTTTCCTCTCAGAGACCCCCTTCTGGTTTTACCCCTGTCGTTTTCCTTTTCTTCTCCATCTTTTTGATCACCCGAAACATCAGCCCATCACCACCAGAAGCTGTGGTTTACGTCTCCCCGCTGTCCGTAGCTCACTGTCTGCCTTCCAGTGAGAGCTCCTTCCCGCTGAGCCGCTGCCCGTTTGCCAAACTCGGTGTGTTTGTGGGATAAGTGCAGCAGGTTTTACATGCAGGAGTGCCTCCATGTTGTCCAGTTTGTGGGCATACAGCCACACAGAGTGCTGCACTTCAGATTCACCGTTTGTTCGTGGGTGCAGGGCCAAACTCGTCGTCCCTCTCAACCTATGTTTCACAAAAAGAATGTTTCCACATTAAAGGCTCTGAATGTCTTGTGTTGTGTCAGCATATTGTCTGAGATCATGTAAACACATGGCCTGCTGGGACGTTTCATCCGAGCAGTGGAGGTATGCCTTTCAGCAGGGGGATTAGAGAGGGACGTGGCCTCTGTTGGGCTCCCTCAGAGCAGAGCCAGTCCTCCCATGTTAATTTCTCAAGGTCAAGAAGAACCTCTGCAATGTTTCATCTTTGAAGGTGGAAGGAAAATACAATAACAGGAACCCTGCTGAATAGGAAAGAAAAAAAGAGGGAACACACTGGATTCGATACAGCTACATCTACCTGTTTGCTACGATCAAAGAGGCCAGTTAGTGAGGTGTTCCAGGTCGAACATCAAAAGACAGATGTGTCGGCTTAATGTGAGTTCACACAGAACGTCTCGCTTCAGCATAATAAAAGCAGTAACTCATATGAAAGAACAAGCTGATCTGCAGTGTTACTGTAACTCCTGTAGGAATAAGCACTGATATGACAGATCCATCACTCACTGCCTCCAACAGTTATTTCACGAGCGTCACTGTCGAGGTCTAACTGAGCTACTTTACATTGTAATAAGGCAACAAAATGCGCCGGATTAAAGCAGATCCTGGTCCCTTATGTATTTAAAAAATAGGGCTTGGGAAAAAAACAGCACCATTGCTTGCCTTTTGAGATTTAATGACTATCCTGTGACTCCGCAGAGAATTACAGCCAGTAATTGATTATTAAAACTTGAAATTGCAAAACCACAGCCATTATTTGATGAGTGCATGCGTGATCCTTGTAATTAACAAAGCTTGGCACTTACTGTTCGCCAGTTCCCAGACCTCCAGGAAAAAATATATCAGAGGTTAGAGAAAGGGGACTTCTAGTGCAAGACGTGTCTGGGCAATTATCTAAGACATAATACATTAACAAAGATGCACCAAAAGATGCACTAAGAAAATCTCCTTCACACCCGGCCAGACATGACAGCATTCTCAGGAAATCTCAAGCAGTGTGTAAAAACATGTAAAAGCCGTTAATTGTATGGTAGCTGTAGAATAACTGTATCATTATATCTGCTGCTGTTGTATATAATTTTATACATTTTAAAACCTCCAGGCATTTCCTTTAACATTCTGTTTTAAATCATAGAATTATCTGTGCAAATGCAGGCGACTGAGACATTTCAACCCCTAAAACATGTTGCTGAACAAAAAATATCTTGAATATCAAAATGCGTGCAAATGCAAAGAATTGTTTAATKCATCACATTATATATATATATATAGATGTACTTATATCTGTTTATCATTTTAAACAACGTCAGATAATGTGTTGTTAATGGTTTTTTCTTAAAAGGGAATTTTGGATTAATTGGTCCTCACACAAATGTAGAAAAATAAAAAAATATATATCAAACATCTGGTCTGCAAATAATCTGTCATTTTCTTTTTAGTAAAGATATACAGTAAAATACAGATTCAGGAGGTACATAATAAATAATCTGCACAAACAACTGTTCTGCATCTATCCAATTTTTTAAAAGTTATAGATTTTCCAGTTTGATGTAAATTAAGCCACAATGAACGCCGGTGTAGTTTAGATATGATAAATATGGAATATGCTACTAGACCTCTTAATCCTCAGGTTATGCAGGGCATATGAAGAAAAGTGGAAGGGATGAGACAGGATCCATGTGATTATTCTCCTTTGCGTTATGCTTCTGATCTATAATCAATTAGGACAAGATAATTGTTTGACCAGTATTCATGAAAAGTAGCCAATACTAATAGTATAGTAGTTTATAGTATAAAATTAAAAGGGGGGGAGGCACGATTAGAAATGTTTAGTGCCCTTTAACGTATTTGATTATTTATTTTTAATCGACCTGTGATTCTCTCTGCTCCAATGCATCGTCCGCAGCAGTAAGAGATTCTGAACTTGCTTTTGGCTTTAGACACTCATGATGGGAGAGCCCTTTGCAAAGAAATAGTTAAAGCCTCCAACCTTCACTAAAGTACTTACCCTAAAGAAACACATCCTCATTGGCTCACAGACTACTCAGATAAAGCCCTTTTGTGCATCAAGAGCAGAGCAAACAGCAAGGTCTTCACACCATTGAAGATAATCAGTAATTGGCCAAAGACGTGGAAGCCAGATAACCGAAAACCGACTATAGGGAGAGTAAAACAAGAAGGGGCATTCAAGAACAAAGTGAAGCTGACAACGCTCAAGCACAAAACCTGAAGTCATAAGAGTAAGAGTGCAAGCAGGAGTGAATCCAGCGTGGTGGTGTGAAATGTTGCGAACAGTGCTGGTTGTCCATAAGGGTTCGAGACAGAGCAGAGAGAGAGCGAGAGACTTTTTCTTTTACTGGGAGGAGATGCTGTATCCACAGGCCGTTTGGGCTGGATGGAGCTGGATGAATTCATTAAAGGCATCGCAGTCTCTCCCAGCTGCCATCTCTCCCCCTGCAGCCAGACTCCGATCAATGGCAGGAATACATCCAAAACAACATTTAGCACAAGACCTCGGAAGCAGGGGTGCATTTAAGACTTCTCCGTGTGCACACATCTCCCCTGGATGTGAGAGCAGTTTCGAAATGCGCTATTGAAGTCGAGCAGGGGAGGTATGGGAGCAATGGGCTTGTATCACAACGGAGAAGATTGTTTAACGCGGCCACTTCGAGATGAGAGTGTGTATGTTATTCATATTGAAGAAAAGAAACATGTTTAAATACCAAATGAAGATAAAATAAGCTCTTGAATGAAAGTGCGATTACCTCAAATTCAATAGTTGCACCTGATATATTAATTTACTCATCATCCGAGTTTGAACACAGGGAAAACACACATTTCTTATTCCTATACGTCAACGTCCTAGGATAATCCTTTCCACATAAAATATCAGATGGTCAATACCGATAGTTTTAGCGGCACATCCATTTAGTCATTTTAACTTTTCTTAAGTTAACATTAACCCAACTTACCCCTTTGACACACTTCAAATGTATTATGTAATTTAAATAGCACCAGACACAACTGATAAGATTTCACACATGAACCTCCATGAGCAAAAGCAAAATGCTTCTAGTACCATCTAGTGGTTGTAAAAAAATATATATACTGATGTGATGGTGCTATGGAGGACAAAGTCTATAAATGTAAACAGAGTCCTGCCCACAGCCTTCAGTTAATCATACATGATGGGCTAATGTGTCACACGCTATAGTGTGGCGGAATTTAACTATGCGCTTGGTCCCATTAGAAAATCGTGACGTATGTATTCGCTATAAAACTCTCTTAGGAGAGAAGCACCCCACTGTGTGATGATGGGTGGACGTTTCATTTTTTTGCTATATTTCATTTATACGATAACCGTGCATGCCCCACTTACTGAGGAATATACTATACAATGTCTATGATGTACATTGTTTTATACTTTAAACAAAGGCAGGGTTTATTAGCCCAGTGATCTATTGCCTTACTCTGAATCAGATCGTATTTACGCTTTAGAGATTAAGGGTTCGTGGTGCTGCTCACTGAACGAACACATCACTGGCACTTTTCAGACATCAATAAAATCTACTGTCGTTATATCAACTACGATTCTATAGCTTTAACAGTAAATGTGACAATAAATGAAACAAAAGTCACACTTTACAAACAGACTGTGTTTTTATATATGAACATTCATTGTTCAATGCACTGTTGTCAAAAAAAGAAAAGAAACAACAAGCACAACATGGTGACTTCAATCATGTCCACAGCTTTTCAAAATCAAAACACAGTCTGACGCTGGATACCCACATCAGTGGTATTAACATCACAGTACGACCTACCCAGGTTCTGCAAACTTAATACCTGTATCTTTGGAAAATATAAAAGCTTAATTTCAATATACACTGAATCCGGATAGGATCAAAAATCAGTCGTACAGTAAAATGTCGGATTTTCATCTTAATGGCTTATGTCTAAAATTGGTGAAATATGTCACTCTTTAGAGAGCTCACCACTAATTTCACCTGATAAACATTTCATTTAATCACATACGTTTAAAATCAATGGCGAGGTCATGTGCCGCCTCTCCGTCTCTACTTCACCTCCTGTTTCTCTCTCAGCAGTCTCAGCCCGGCATTCAGAGTGACTCTTCCTGAGACGTCATTTTATCTCTCGAATAGAAAACAATCATTTTCTTACAAAAAATACCTGAATAATCAGAGAGATGCAATGACAGTGAAAAGTACGATTAGTACCAGTACGAGCTTAGTTTTACTCAGATTTAACAAGGCGGAGGTGTTGTGGACTACAATTCCCAGCACAACATGTTTGCAAATAAACACTTCTTGTAGTCCTTTGTTGGGATTCAACCATCATTAGCTTTGACAGACTATAACTGACAGCTATACGCACTGCAGTCGACATTATGTGTCAATGTTTTCAGTGAAAACTCAAATTCCAGCTACACTTTTTATCATTGCCGTCATGATGTTGCTGCTTTACATTATACAGGACAAGACGTCCCCACACATGGAAACATTACAGGCCCAAAGGGTCATTATGATAAAGTCTATTATCAGATTCAGCTTTTTCTGCAAAAGAAAAACAAGACAGACCATGTACCACAGTGTGAAAACTGTGGTTTCAGTTAACATGGCTGTTTACTTATTGATTGGACTGTATCTTTCTGTTTCAAGGCACAAGAGCGCTGGGAGTGTCTGTCCAGAAAGGCCCTGGAGTTTAAAAATGTGCACGCGGGCCCTCAGGGGTCTCCTGGTTCCCCTCGCTCACAGGGTGATCCGGGCACAGTGGTGCTTGAGCTTGCAGGGCAGCACCCCGCGGTTCAGCTGATAAAACTCCACCAACTGGATCAAGTCTGTGAATTGTGTGTGACCATCGTCCAGGCTGTAGAATAACTCCCCTTCAGCGTCCACCTACATGCACAAACATGTACGTCAGGCACAAAGGAAACGCACACAGGAAAATGTTACATACAAGTTGAAGCTAAAATCTTCTGGTGATTTTTGGGAGATGAATGAAATGCATCTTGTGACTGTATTTGCAAACAGTGGATTGTACTCACAGGTAAGATCTGAAAGTGTTTGACTTTCTGCATGTGGCACAACGACAGTACAAATGTCTTGGGGTTGCTTTGGCTGTCCCTTAGAAGAAACACTCTGAAAACAAAAAGAAGTCTTTACTGTGGTTCCAATTCTTCACCTAGGTACAGAAACGTATTGCATCCACTTAAAAAAAAAAACCTGCTCAGTTTTTCTGCATTAACTAGATGCCTCAAAATCCTTTGTACTTTCCGTCTGAACAATCCACAAGTCCTGAGCCGACAAATGAATAACAATGGCATCTATATAACTTAAAGACAAGTGTCTCCCAACGTCTCGAACCAAAATAAAACCGGATCAAACTACACAGGCAGGACATGTTTGCTTCAACGCTCTCAAAGTAAAGGCCATATGATTTTTTCACAAGTGAATTCAATACACTTCCGTACAGGCCCCATTTTAAGATTTTCTACAATAAAGATGCCAATTAATCTAAAATGTGAATGAACTAAAAGTTTTGAACATGTAATATGACATATGCTGGAACATAAGGTACAACCCAGAGCATACAACATCTCCAAAAGGAATTTATTGCAGAGCACTAGAGAATCGTACTTTATACCCCTTGTAGATTTACTAACAGACTTTATAGGGATAATGAAACACATTTCGATGTGCTCTTTGAGCTGTAAACTGAACTATATGACTGTTCTTTGATGAAATATATTAATGTTGGTTGTAATATCACATTTATGACCTAATCTATAAAATATTATTATAAAGTTATGACGCCACCTAGTGTTTCAAACTGTTTTGAACCTTGCAGGGCCAATGCTTACATAGAATGTAGAGTCAACCACTTGGAACGTCTCTTTTTCATTACATTAGGTATATAGAGCTCATGAGTGGGAATCTGGAAAGCAAAGTCTCCTGAAAGTAAAGTAAACCCCTGAATCATCACATTGTCAGAAACCGAGACAATGCAACACCATATTTGTGTAATGCAGCTCTAATGTCTATTATGTTCTCCTCAAAGATTTACTGTACATCTCACTCTCAGTGATTATATTTAGCACCTTTATCTGTCCAATGATTTGTGCAGAGAATTCAAATGTGAATCAGATCCAATGGTATTTAATATGGAAGGAGCCTTTAATAATAGCACAACCAGGCAGATGACAAAGAGTGAAGTTCAGACTGCAGCCGCTTACCCATCGACGAGACCCTGTTGAGTGATAAGACGCTGAGCCTCATCCCTCGACAGTTTGCTGTGGAACCACGGCTGAGCCATGTGCAGCACTGAAGCACACAGAAAGACAACATGTATGTTACAAATGGTTTGTGTCATACAGTGTGCATGCAGAAAATCTGAATAATAACACTGTGTGGCACCAACCTATGTTTGACATTGAACTCAGTGATGTCGAGGGGCTCCCATGACTGCTCAGACGATGACAGCTTTTCCTCTTAGGCACAAAGAAGTTACAGAGTCAAATTAAGTTTAGAAAATTCTAATTCATTTATTCAGTTTCTCTTCTCTTCTTATTCTTGTTTCAAAACATCCCAAGTTTTATATAACTCTTGTCACACTGGATATTAATATGTTTAATTAGGTTGTACATTTTAAGAACACATAACTTCGTTAGAGGAATTTGATCCTAGGTCCTTGTTCATTTTTAGCAACATTTAATTTAGAGATTGTCAGTTAATAGTAAATTTGTCCACTGGATGAAGTAAAAACATGGATGATAAAAAAATCACACATCATCACTGACTAATCTGCCAAACCGTGACTTACCCTCCATGACAGACCCTCCGCTACAGCCACAGACAACGCCTCAGACGGGTTCTCGATGACGCGGCTCTTCTGGCCGGAAAAATCCATGGCCACCAGCGAGTTCTCAGAGATGCTTCTCTAAAAAGACACAGTTTATATGGAGTCATTTCGGAATAACAGTCATATGGTCTTATAAATGTTTTCTAAAAATCTCACTTTTTCCTTTATTTTCCATGGGACAGCTGAAAATACAGATGGAAAAACACACATATGTATTACTGTGTTCTTTTATTTTTTTGGTTTCCTTTGTACTGTGGTGAGGCAGTAGATTGACTTCTTGTGATATTGTGTTGCCATCTAGTGGCTTCATCATTTCTACATGCTTCCAGACAGAAGAGGCCGTGAAGAGAAAGGCTCACAGACACATTTTACCCATTTAAGCAGCTATCAAGTGAGTGGCTCTAAACAGCTGCACACACTGAAGGAAAGTCTTCTTATCAGGGTTAACAAGAGGTTTCACAGTTGCCACATTCATTCCTCCACCAGCTACACAGCTCAGGATTTAAACACATGGAAAAAACAAAGTGAGCAGTGTTTACTTAGGGGACAGCAGTGTTCCAGTTACTCTTATCTACTCAAAGATACTTATCATCACTTATCAAAGTTTGACTTACAGTAACATTGTGTTTAAATATGGCTGCTATTTACTTTCCAGTGTGAACACTGTTTTCTCATTGTAGCACCAGCTGCTAAAACTGTCATGTGACCTACAGCAGATTCACCATCCTGACCAGGCTTTTGGCAGATTAATGCACTCCTCGATCTTTTCCATAATCCTCTTGGCAAAGGCTGCTGGACACACATGAACCTCTTACAGCGGAGAAGAGGTGATGAGTTGTTAAATCTGAGAGCAGCTGATCGCTGTGTATTTTTAGAAAGGAGAGGGTTCATGCACATGTCCAAAAGCCATAAATAGATTGTGTTCGCTGCCACAAAAATACTCCCAGATGAGTCTGAGGCTATTCTGGGACAAGAAACCTGCATTAGCACACTGAAGGTGCCTTATTTGTCCTACGCAACTATATGACCACACTGCCACTACATGTGTTGGCAAGTGTTAGCCGCAACAGATTATTTTAACACATGGAAATTTGCCTCTGATGCTCATTCATTCATCATCGTTCATGTTCCTTCGATGACCCTCTGGGTGAAGTCCATACTTTATAAGTGCTTGGTATGTGTTACAACAGACTGCATTTAAAGATGGACGACATGACTGCTCTCCAAAGGTGAGTCTCAATGGCACCCTGGTGGCTGGCTGCAGTATAGGTCATACATTTTGCCTCCTCCATGTTTGCAGATGGGACATGTAACAAAATGGCCTCACTCAGCTAACATGAACTGCAAAGTTGTGTGCTAATGCAGATTTGTCACTAGGATCACCTGGTTACACATTGTCATTTAATTCATTGTTAATGTATAAGAATAGGGAAAAAAGCTAATTTAAATATTCATTTATTTTTAGTTTCACGAGAAGCAGAGGACAGTGAAATAATATTATGAGCTTCAGCTTACCATTGGTGAGGCTTTTTGTTTCTGGTGTGGCTGAATGAAGTTTTGGTACAGCTGCATCCCATACTGAAATAGAAACATGTGAGCATATTTAATTATAACTTTAAAATACTTTCAGTCAACCTGTAGAAGAGTGATGAAAATGGACAGGTACAAATATTTCAGTCTGCTGTGCTTTACTGTATATTATATAAAGATGTGAAGGAGAGTCTAATGCTGTAACCTGTCTCCAGAAGACATCCAGACAACAAATAACATGCTGCTGCTATCAAGAGAGGGGCTGCTAATCCTGCATCACTCAATATCTTCCCTTGACCTCCTCCTGAAGCTAAATCTGATTCTAGCATTGACTCGACATTCCTCCTCTCAGACGTGGGCCTGGAGTTTGTGATGGACAAGCTGACCTTTAACAAGCGCATGGCCGTGATCCAGCAGGTCCTGGTCGGCTCATCATCCGCACAGAACAGCTTCAAGTCCCGCGCTGAGCTACACTTTGCGGACTATAGAGAGGGAGAGACGTTACATTAAAAACGAATGGAGTTCAACATGCTGGAAATCAATACTTCTGTTCCTCCAGTGCACTTTTACCATGTCCAGAAAAGTGATGGTACCTTGACGCAGAAGCCGTAATCTGTGGGCGCTCCGTGCAGTTTTTTTGCTGACAGGACGGAGAAAACATCACAGTCGCTAAAGTCGGCAATGAACTGGAGATGCCTTGGTTCCTGTACAACAAAGACACAACAACATACAATCATCAAAATCACTGAGTTAAAACGTTCATTCCCCTAACATGAGTGTGTGTAATGCACAAGAAAGTACGTTTTTATATGCGCTTGTTTTGTTTTTTTGAGCAGTTTGCAGGATTATACAAAACTACCGGACAGATAACCACAAGACTTGGTGGAAGGATGCAGTACAGATCAGGAAAGAACCAATTCAAGAATCTGACATTTTCTTTAAAGTTGAGAGATCGAGAGTTTTTTTTGTTGCATTATTGTTGATTGCTCAGCTAATAACACATGGATCTCATTCATTTCATTAATTAATTTCATTAGAGGACTACTAAAACTTGGTGGAGGTAATGTACTGAGTGCCATTCTAGTTTAATTTTAGAATTTAATATAAAATTACTATCTTATAAAACAAAAACAGCAAACAGTGGATGAATTCCTTTAGGAATTGAATTAATCCATGATTACAGTCTGATCTTTTTAGCTGATTAAGGACAGAGGTGGAGGTTAAGTTGCATATATAACAATGCATATGAATCAATGAGTCTATTATCAAAAGTGAGGGTGCAGTTGAACTATAAATGTAATTAGTGAGATAAGGATAAATTTAGAAATATTGATTCATGCTGCACTGACACAGTATGAACAGCTGCATTGTGCCAGAGATAAATTTCCGAGGAGAAAAAAAAGCACAAGGACTACCACTGTTCTGCTTTTCATGTGACACACTGTTCCCACTTCCTTATTTAAAGTAAAGCCACAGCTGTGAGCGTCTGTGCTGACTGACTTGCAATGTGTCCGACCGAGACCACAGATGAATGTAAACCTGCTCGAGCAAAAAGCGGGCACCGTACCAAAGCCTTCCTGTGCTCGACAAACAAAAGGTCCACTGTTGTAGGAAATGAAAGCAGTTGAGAAGTTTGCGTTGGCACGGCCGGTGCCTCGGTATGAGGTTCACTTGTCAGCAGCATTGAGAGCACTGTTTCTGCCTGGCTGCTGTGCCAGCTGACCTAAGGAAAATCAAGCTCAACCTGTTCCCCTGCCCTTTCACAACACAAGTGAGAAATATCTGAACCCACTGTGCAAAGTGCGACGAGGATTCATTCATAGATTAAATCAGGCGTTTTTATTTTGCAAATGGTGCCGTGCATTTTTATTTTTTATCTTAGATCTAAACTATGGCAACAAAGGACTTAAGCATAATGGTCTTAGTTGTATGAAAAAAAATCCCCACTGGATTTTAATTGCTTTTGATTTTCCAGCAATACGGAGATGAAAACATCCTGAGGATGATTTTGTTTTACTGACCTTGGACGTTCCCTTATTGGAAAAATAAAGCCCAGACCTCCGCAGGACAAAATAAAACTTCTTCCAAGATTTCCTGCTTATCTCTTTGGCATGAAGGTGCCCGTGTATCTCCGGACAAGTGCTGGAGTTGAGGAAAGTCTGTGTTGGGTAGAAAAATATTTGTCAGTAGATGTGTAGGTGTGTGTGTGTGTGTGTGTAGTTGACTTTAGAGTTAACACACACAACACATTTAGACAGAGGTTGAGAAACTCACAATTGGCTCACTCAAGGTCAAAGAGAGTTGACTGTTATTAGAGAGAACCTGATACCTGTATAAGCTGAGAGTGATCCACCATCCCATTGGTTTCACTGGATATGGAGACCATGTGATCCGGGAAAAACTCCTACCAATATGAAAGCACCTCAGTATTACAACAGTGCTGAACTCCTCATACCACAGCATGGTGGGAATACCTGTAGGATGATGTATCAAATGCAAACGTACGTGAAGGAATTGCAATGTGCACAAGTTACTCACCAGAGGTTTCCTGAAGAATTCATATTTAGCATAATTCTTCCTAAAATACAGCCTGCTGTCTGTGTCCAGCCCCCAGCCTGACAGCACCTCTATGACGGACTCATGGTCTTCAATGGTTCTCTCTAGTAACACACGGAGAAAAGAAAGTAAAAAAGCAGCTAGTGTATTTAAGTGCCACAATTGACTCAAACCAAAGTTAAAGATCACAGAGAAAAGCTACATCTTCATAAGATTTTCCTGCAGGAGCTATACTGCTCAACTTCGAGGCACAGAGTTTGATTATTAACCTTTTATGAGTGTGTAATCTCGTAAAGCAGTAAAACATAAACTAATCATTTTCTAGCACTAAAACGGATGATGGAATTATTGGGAAAAAAAAGGTTTGTGTTCAGGCAGTCATGTTAAGCAAAGTTGAACTATGAGCAACATCAGGAAAGATATTAGTCATGATGGTGATACAAATAAATCAAAACTGACATATACCCTGCTTCATAAATAATTTAATTAGGATTTATAAATATACTCTTCGTATGTTGAGCAAAAAGCAAACTATAATCTATCCTACATACTATAGAAACCATCTATCTCCAATCCCTTAACTTTTAGAAATTACTAAAATTGATGAATAACAAGCATCTAGACTCAAGCTTTTCTGTGGAAAGCAGTGACATGTAGTCTTGACTGAAACACTGAAGAGTGGAACAGGGCAGATGGATGAATTATGTAATGTGTGCAATAGTGTGAAAATGCAGCTGAGAAATCATTTATACGGTCACACTGTCACTTTTCGGACCAGTTTTAATTTATCATTGACAAATATGTGTGTTTTCCGCTGTTGGCTCACTTACAATTGTATATTTGATGCTTTTCATGCATCCCTATTAAATGCAGATTGAGTGGATGATGTAACATATACTGACATCACAGTACATGTTATGTAAATGAGGTTGCAGCTAATCTTTTTGAAAATGTGCATCAATTCAACTGTTATTCAGCAGCAGCAGGTAGTGCAGCTTGGAAAATAAGAGGTAACAGCAGAGCCCAGTCAACAGAGCTGATACAATGAGAGAAAATCCATATGTCTCAGTGTAGACAGTGATGTCTTTGTACATGCACTGCACTACGTCTCTATTATTGCAATTCCAATAGAGTAATAACAGTCTACACCAGGGAGATCTATAATTAATGTCTCTCAGTGATAGAGACACTATCCAACATCAGCTCCTCTCACATTTTACACCATGTGGTTAAGGATTCAACAGAAAACACAGAGGACAGTGATTTATTCAGCTCTCATGCATCTACATCACAGCACCACTTAATCCTATCATCAAATCAAGCACATCTCGCCTCAAGGACTTCACATGATTAATACGAGTACATACCGTACACATGTAAAAACCAAAGAGTTCACGGTTTCATGTGTATTTAGAAAGAAAACTGTAATCTGATCTGGTTCAACACACTGTCTTGGACTTCAATTTTTTTCCTCTGGGCCAGAAGACTATTTGAATTGCAGAAAAACATCTGAAATTCAACAATGATTCAGAGGTGTAGAATGAGGCTCACCAAAGATGTCATTTTAATATAGCAAAATAATTCTAACGATGAAATGATGCATTCAAAGAAAATATAATTTTTCTTATGGTTCCTTTTGAAATAAAAGGATTAAGACCGTCACGTCACAACAAAATTACATCTAGCATGCAATCCTAAACCAGTGCCTACAGTCCCATCATGAAACCACATTTAAATTCACTAGATCCCGATTTTTCTTTGGATATGCACCAAATTGCACACACTCAGAAACATCAGACCCTTAAATATTTTGTCATCATAAACCATGAATTATTCTTTCAGAAATCACAAAAAAATTTGAAAAACACGTTGAATGGGTTCTTCCCTTACTTATACCAAGTTTCATGTTAATCTGTCCTGTAGTTTTTGTGTAATCTTACAAATAATCCAACCAACAAACAAATGGACAGGAGGAATACAACCTCCTCAGCAGAGGTAAACATATACAGTATACAATACACTCTATGTAAGAGTGGCTCTGATTGCAGTTTGCAGTGGGGGGCTTTAACATCTCAAGCATTTAGACATTTTATTATTAATCAAACTTTCTTACCTATTCCTAGATGTGAGAGGTGTTCAAACAGGGTCCAGCTGTGGTCATCGATGCAGTGGTTCTTCAGGACGAACAGCTGGCATATGTCGCGGGCAGTGATGTCACTGGGAACTTCTACTGCTCTGCTGGTGTTGTCTTCATTATAAACTTTGATTACCTGCAACAGCAGCATTGAATCAACAAAACCATTCACTGGGAGTGGGGAACTTTCTACCTTGAAGGAGCTGAGACGGTTGCTTTTGCCCTGAAGTAATGCAGAGACCAGTATTAAACATGAGGCAAAGTATCAGACACATTAATCAGTTTGACCTACATACAGCAGTTATCTAGCCCCTGCTTTCATTTACAGCAACACGATATTCAGAAAATCACAAGTAGAGAACAATATGCACAGACTGTTCCAGGATATAAACACTTGAATAATCTTGCATCACCACATTGAGACATGATACACTTGAAAATGAATCCATCTGAAAGTATAACTCACCGCCCCTCTGTCTGAAATCGAGCAGAGTTCTGAGGTTGGGCAAGCTCTGTAGCCTATACATGGCTGAGTACACAGCATTGCAAAGGAGAGCTTTTGTAAGAAACATAAAAACACGCATCAGACAGCACCGCAAGTGTCAGCTGGGAGGCAAAGAGTGTCTCCCGCTCTCCGTCTCTCTCTCTTGCTCAGTGCTGCAGTGGAGCTGAAAGGAGGTAATTGGACAAAACGGCTTCTAAGCACAACGCTCTCCTGACTCCACGTATCTGTATCTGTGTTGCTGGTGCTCCTCACCACCACGAGGTATCAAGAAGCCAGAGATCAATCTGATCACTCACTAGTGGGTGGAGACTGAGGGAGAGAGAGACAGAGAAAGAGAGAGAGAGAAAGAGATGGGGGCAGAAAGTCACAAGGCTCCCACCCCCCCTCCTCTCTACTCCCATTCACACACCCATGGCAAGCAGGGTTCTCAGCATAAAGCCCTGTAATAATGGTGCTGGTTAGATGTAATGCTAGTTTGGTCAACTTAGCCCAAAATTGGCCAGTGGCGGGGGTGGTGGTGTTGGTGGAGATGATAGGGGATCAGAGCTTCTCTCAGGGTAAACCACTAGTGTTCAGTTAGCCTGCATGGAGCCTTACAGGACAAATATATTTGTTTGTCCATGTCCAGCATTGACAGTATACTTAAAGTGTAATATCATCTTGGAGACAGAGACAACAAAAAAAAGTGATGAAGTTACACTATTGGTCAACTG